TACACCAAATTATTGACATTTTGATTGGACAACGATGAACCATCCATTTGTCATTTCAGGTGGTTCATAATATGATTATTTTGAGCAACACCGGCAATACTCAAAGTTCACCAGATTTATGAAGTCAGCGCTTGGACAAACTGACAAGGATGTCAAATGAATCACTGCGTGATTTGATTTCACGGCTAAACTAATGGCATACTTGGCACACATCCACATTACACATCTTTGATACTCTGATGAAAAATAAAGAACAACACAGTAAGTTTGGGCTGGGTATGCACCCCTACCAGTAGTACCGCACAAGGCGGTGGCGGAAGTTTCAAAAATAAGAAACCTATAGGAGAGGTTGGTTGTTGTGAATCAGGGATGGCAGAGCGAAGCCACTGCTGGATTGAAAGGTGCTTGATCTCTCTCACTCTTTCTCTCTCTTTCTCTGAGTATCTACCTACCTACCTATCTATTTTCTATGTATCTATCTATCTCTCTATCTAGCTATCTAATCCCCCGTGGTACCGCTCAAAAAGGTCCAGTCCTGGAAAAAAATGCCTTAAACCGTTTGGTCCACAACCTTTTGGAATTGATTTCCAAAGGGTACAACCCAACGGATTTAAGCCAACAACCAAGTTGCAATTTCCCGGGCAAACAAATTAAAATCCTGTTCCACAACCTTTATGTGGACTAACATTTCTCCTGGTCCACCATTGCGCTGACACAACTCTTTTCCTGGGTCATAACCTTTATGATGATACATGTGTATCTACCCCATTCAGATCGTCAAGTCGATTGAATTGGAAGATCACGACCTTTCAAAAACTGCTGAGGGTTTGGCATAAACACTTTTCTTGTCATATCATTCAAATCCTGGGTCACAGGGTTTCCACCGGCTCCATCATTTTTTTGCTCGCATGCTGTCAAGATCTTTCAAGACGGGGAGATGGAGGACACTAGGCTTTGGAGGTCCAGAACCTAGAAAAAAATCGGTCTAAAATGATGACCCCTAACCTTTGAGAGAGGTTTTAGAGCTTTAAATTCCTGGCTCCTAACCTCTGAAGCCGAAATCTCACTTCCAACCACCTTTTTGAATTTTCTTTGCTAATTTCCTGGTGCCCAACGTCCAACATCCAATAAATTTACCCCTCTGATATCCAAGTAAAAAAAATATTTCCTGGATGCTTGCGTTGGTAACATGCCATATCTTCCCCCCCTCAATCTGATACGGAAAAAAAATGAATTCCTGGCACCTGACTTCCCGGCTGACAGCTCGCAGTTTTTCAGAGTCCACGGCTTCACGAGTGCGGTCCGGCAGATGCCCACGGCAATGCGCAACCCTTTTGCATGGACAAATGTATCTTCAGGAAAAAACGACTGTTTTGCAATTTGGCCACACGTTGGAACAAAATTCTTCAATTCGTCCCATCATGTCCTATCTGTGGATGATTGGCCTGGAGATGCGATTTTTTTCCTGTGGGGCCAACCTTTGAAGATCATCCGCAAGTATTCAGTCAAAAAAGGTCCAGCCCCTTGAATTTTATTTTTGACACGTGCGCCTCGGCCTCTTCAAGTCACTTTTTTGGTTGGTGAAGGTGAACATATGTGTTTGTACCCTTTTGCAAGGACAAATGCAATTTCAGCAAAAAACATATGTTTTGTAATTTGGGCGCGCGTTGACACAAAATTCTTGAATTCGTCCCATCATGTCCTATCAGTGGATGATTGGCTTGGTGATGCGACTTTTTTCCTGTGGGGCCAACCTTTGAAGATCATCCGCAAGTATTCAGTCAAAAAAGGTCCAGCCCCTTGGATTTTATTTTTGACCCCTGCGCCTTGGCCTCTTGAAGTCACTTTTTTGGTTGGTGAAGGTGAACATATGTGTTCGTACCCTTTTGCAAAGTCATGTAAAGAATCATACCCCCTCAATTAATCATGGTACATTTTTTCCCTGGGGTTTGACATTTAGATATGTTCTAATAAACTCCCATTTGATCCATCCACCTTCAAATTCCTGGCTACTAACCTTGGGAATTCTACAAACTTACCCATTATCAGAGTCATTCATGATTGATTTCCTGATGCCTTACATACACAGACTGATAGATTAACCCCCCCTCAATCACAACAGACAGAAATTGATTTCCTGTCACTGTACGTCAGGAAGCTTTCAGGAAAAAAACTGGGCCTTTTTTGGTATGATATTTTATTCCTGGCCCCATATCATGCCCCGGGACCTTCACCCACTGTCTGCTAGATTTTTGGAAAATAGTGTTTTTAAAAAGCGTACTGAACCCCCAGGAAAAAAAACTGGTAGTACAGAGGAGGATATTGTTGAAGAAAACCATACGGAGTTCATAACTGTTCATAATTAAAATCCAGTGAAGCTATCGGATTCAACCTTTTTACAAACCACTGAAATGCATTGAAAAGTAAGATCACAACCTTTATGTAGATCCTACCTTCTCCTGTTCGGCAGATTGGCCCAGAGATTTTTTTCCTGTACCCCAACCTTGTTTGGAAAACCATGCAATCCTGGCAGGCAAATCACCAAAACATATAAAATCCTGTGGTACAACCTTATGTTACTAATCCTGCTTTCCTGGCTCCAACATTTGTTTTCCTGAACCCCAACCTTGCAACATCCATTTTGGGATGATTTTTACCTGACTTGGCATTTTTAATTTTCGAACTGGAGTCACAGGAAAAAAAATTACCGGTACAACGGGGGATGCTATCTATCTCTCCCTCTCTCTCTTTCATTTGATGACCCTATCTATCTATCTATCTATCTATCTATCTATCTATCTATCTATCTATCTATCTATCTATCTATCTATCTATCTATCTATCTATCTCTCCATCTATCGATCTATTGTTGTTGTTGTTGTTGTTGTAGTTGTAGTTGTAGTTGTAGTCGTTGTTGTAGTTGTAGTAGTTGTTGTTGTTGTTGTTGCTGTTGCTGTTGCTGTTGTCGTCGAAGTTAGGGTAGTTGTGTTAGTGAAGGTACTTAAGTTAGTCAAGTTAGTTAAGTCAATCAGTGTCTACTTTTTCGACATCAGCACGTCAAAAAAGGCTCAAAACCCTCAGTTTTTTACACTTTTGACTTCGAAATGTGCTTCGCGCCACAACGGCGTGCACTTTTTCGACATCGCAACTTCCAAAAGTGGTCCGACCATGGTGTGCTTTGTACATTTTGACTTCAAAATGTGCTTCGCGCCACAACGGCGTGCAAATTTTCATCTCTCATCTGGCCAGCTGGCTCCGCACCCGCCGCTTTAGCGAGCCTACTTTTCGACCCTCCGGAGCCACAGATCATTGGAAAAACACAGTGTTTCGCGACTTTCCTACCTTTTCGCGCATCTGTGTCTTCTGTCCTCTTACTCTTTCTCTTCTGATCTTCTCTCTTCTAATCTTCCTCTTCTCTCTGCCTCTGCCCTGCTCTGCTTTTCATCTGTCCATATTGTCGGAAGTTTGACTTCTAAACTTCCTTCGATTAGACCTCTGCAAAAAACAGCCCATTGACCAAAAAATGTTTACCCACATCTGCTGAGACAGTCCTCTGCAGCCCAGTCACATTGCAGCCATAGCCACTGCAGCCGTGGCAAATGCCCATCCAGCGATGCACGTATTTGCTATGTGTCAAATGCAGGTTTGCAGGATAGACTAACGCAAAAACACTTCGCTGGCTACAAAAAGGGCGGCCAAACAAATCTCAAAAATTGTATGGAAAAATCATCGTTCTAATAGATTCCACAGTTGACACGCAAGCTTTTGACAGTATTGCTAACTTCCACTGCTTAAGCTAAGCTCTTAAATCTTAAGGACATTTTGAGGCAAATTTCACACTGCACAAGGTCCAAATCAGTTTGCCAGGGGTCCATTCATGTGCTTGGACTTGGGAAGGACCGCCACGCCTTTTTGTTGGTGCGGTTCCGCTTTAGTTGATGTTGAATGAAAGCTACTACTGGCCTGCTAGCTTGCCAAAGATACTTGAACAACTTGAGTCATGCAGTATGAATTGAGGTGATTGTTTATGAGCACAATTTATATATTTATATATATTTTATACAACATGTTTACACATCATGCTGGAAAACGGGCAGCCGACCGGAGATGGTCAACGGATCACACTTTCTCCACTGCAACTCACCAAGAATCCCGTCTGAAACAGGTGCAGCATTTGCATGCATTTGCTGCTAACCTGCTAACCCATACTAAGCCTGCAGTATCCAAACCATGGTAAACTTTGTACCACTATGATCTCGCGGCATCGCAGCTTCCACGACACACTTGCATCTACCATCATCTACAACTTACAATCATCTATCATTTACAATCAACAATAAATACCTGCAGCTTGTCCAAAACAATCTGCTTCCACACAGTTTTTCATGTTTCCACCTCAATGCACATAGCCATCAAATGCACAGGTGCTCACCGAGGCCTTCGCGGCCGCTGCATTCTGCAGCATGGAACGGCAGCGTGGAACGGCAGCGTGGAACGGCAGTGTGGAACGGCAGCGTGGAACGGCAGCGTGGAGTGCGCCAAGCTGCTGCGCAGCTGCAGAATGCAGCGGGGTCTGACCTCAGCACTGGCAGCGTGGAACGGCCGCGTGGAGTGCGCCATTGGCGCACTCCACGCTGCCGTTCCATGCTGCAGAATGCAGCGGGGTCTGACCTCAGCACTGGCCACGGCCGCGCCCTTCTCCAGGAGAAATTCGACGACCGCCGTGTGGTCGGACCATGCTGCCGGAAGAGCCATCAGCGGTGAACAAATTGATGTGTAAGGCTTACTAGGCCTTTGAGCTGAAACTATGCAGCTGTCAGCAAATCTCAACACCTGGGTCGAAGTATGGGTCAAACTTCGGTCAAACTTGGATAGTTCCACTAGAATTGAATAATTGCGAAACATATTCTTGGAAAATGACCCGTCAATCTGTGGTTTCTTGGCCTTAGCTTTTGACCATTTTGGACCCAGACCGTACCCATCCACCACCAGGGACCAATGGCGTCAACCTTTTCCGGCGCTCGACACGGTCACACCTTTGGCGCCATCAGATGGGAGACCAGCGTGCGTCGATGTAATCGAAGACCAGTAGGAACATCGCGGACCTCGGAATGAAGCATCTGGGTGTTCCAAAACATGTGCCAAAAGAAGGATAGATTAAAAAAAACAGGAATAGGCAACAATCATTGGGGAACTTTGTGAGATTCACCCATCGCCTTCTAGAATGTGTTCACTTCATCATCTCCCTTTATAACTGAGAGTCGGAGAATACATTAGATCATAGAAATGTATCTAGTAACATCTGGTAACATCTAGTAACGGTGTATTGTCAAGTTGTGTGAAACCCAAAGACGATCCCAAGTTGTTCGTTGTGAAAAAATATCTAGAGACATTCGAGCCTCTCGGCTCCTCAGGCTGCGACCCCAGAAACCAACACACCACGTAGAAGCGGTAGGAGTTGCTATTCTCAATAGCCTGGTGGCAAATGAACCACGTGCATGTGATGAGCAAAATGGGTAATCATTGGGAATCTCAATATCCATGGATTCGGATAAGGTATAGATAGGTATACTCTTGCAGTCAACGCTCCCCTGGGAACAAATATATAATATTAATGTAGAAAAAAAAACATATATATCATCTCCTGTCTTCAAAGATTTCGAAGCACAGAAGCATCGAACCCTGGCACTGGGCATCACTGGGCGCTCGCGCCCTCTCCAGGTGTTTCTGGGCTCCTTCAACATAGCTGGTGCCTCAGGCCAATGTCAACATCCTGGCTGTTGCACATCCATGTGACATGCCAAACATCATTGCTGGGTCGGTCCACTTTAGCTCCAACACCTCAGCTTGCAACTCTGCTGTGTGAGGTCATAACACTCATCCTGAGCACCGGCGGCCAGTTGGCCAGTCTTGAAATGCACCAAAACTTGGACTGTATCAAGTATCACCCAGTAATCTGGGAAAGCAAAAAGCTGGGCAATGCACGTAGATTTACACACTCTGGTGAACTGAGTGAACTGAAACCACCAAAACCTTTGTGAAATGATCCAGGATTCACGTTGCTCCGCAGAATTCCCAGCCGTTTTCAGAAATCCGACGCTCCACTGAGTCTCCCTGGCACTCTGCTCAGTTTGCTCAGCAACCTCTCAAGACATCAGAAATTCGGGGCACCTGTGGATCCTGTGGACTTCCTCTGAAGTTTCTGTTCAAACTGGTTGGGTGCTTACCCGCCGAGGATCATCATTCTATGGTTAAAATATTGTGAAATCACCAACCAGAAAACAGTTGATAGGTCCCGATAGAGTGAGGGGAAAAAAAAAGGCGCAAGAGAAAGCATGCTGAAGGCTGCAAGCCAAGAGAAATTGGGCGTTCAGGTCTGATTGATGATTTTCTGCTCTTGGTTATGGCATGGTTATGTTGATCCGTTGTGAGGTGTCATGGAATTCTTAGTGGGTACAACCGCGTTGTGGTATGGATCAAACATTGATGCTGATAATATAACTTATAACTTATAACACTAGAAATGACTCTTCAAGTCAGTCCCCTACACTTTGAACCACATGATCTCCCATAATTTCTTGGTGAAAGCCTCGTATTTTCCTTGGCAACATCTCCCTTCATGGCAAAACATCACTGGCGTCTCATTTCGGCACCTTGGTGGCAAAGAGCCCCACCATGGAGGAGACCTCCTCGATCTTCGCCCTCGTCTCCTGCTATATCGCCATACCCCTAGTCATATCACCAAATATATTGTGATAATACAGATGATAATATAGATGATAATATAGATGGCCCAGCTGCACCCTCAACTGGCCCCATGTCAAGCCGCAGCTATTTGCCCTGGTACCCAGCAGCATCCAATGGTTTAGAGCAGCATCGCCTGAATCTTGTCGAGATCAGTGGTGAAGGTAGTCAGCAGCCTTTGCTCCTGGAAATTTGCGGATGTAGGGGCCCCCTATTTCTCCTTATTTATAAGGGGTTGACATAGCTGGGTTATCGCCAACGTTAGATTGTAACATGTAAGATGAAAATACCAGTCATTTTTTCACATCATGTACCATGCAGGTCTTAGACGTTCGTCCTAGAAATGCATCAACGGGAAGATTCATATTAAAAATACCTTGGTCATAGTACCCTCTAGTATCCTCTAGTAATTTAACATAATTTAACATAGCTATTGAAAATGGCACATAGAAATAGTTGATTTACCCTCTGGTAATTTAACATAGCTATTGAAAATGGTGATTTATAGTGGATTTACCCATTGAAAATGGTGATTTTCCATAGTTATGTTAGTTTACCAGAGGGTACCCATTGATGGTGATTTTCCAGTTCGCAAACTCTTGGTTTACGGCTACGGGTATCATCCAACAAGGATCGGCTCCTCTGCACGGAGAGCTGACCTTAGATCGCGATGCTGGGAAGGCGGGAAGGCTATGGCTTTTTTAAAGTTTGAAACCTACCAGTTTTGAGATGTTTGCAGAGGCTCTGAGGGGCCTGCCAATCCTAAATAATGCCTAAATATCCCTAAAAATTTATTATTTCAAAATCTGAGTTTCAATGGATAAATATCATTCATTTGTTAGTCGCTAGTTCAGTGCTGCATTCTGCGTCAAGACTAAGACTGGGGTGGCTTCCAAGGCCAATGTGGCATTTCCGAACGAGCGATGCAGATTTGCCGAGAGACGTTTCTAAAGTGATTGACAATCAAGATCCACATCCAAGCTGATGTTTACACACTGGAATGATCCTTGAAGTGTCGAAAAATAATCATAGCAACAATAACAGAAGGATAATAATGGATCATATAGGTAGTAGTGCAAGTTGATGTACAGGTAGAAGTGAAAGTCATCCCTCACTGTCCCTTTTGGGCTTTCCCCATTGTCAACGCTGTTTCCAAGAAGTCATCCCTAAGTCATCCCTTTGGTGGTTTCCCCCATGTGAACGCTAGATTTACTGAATGTTTTTTTTATCACCTACGATCTTGAAATTATAGAAATCATTGCATTCTGCTGGTGGGCCGCTATTCTTTTGAATGCCAAAAGATATAGTAGAGAAATGTATAACATCTTATAACACCTTAGAATTGTGATATGGTGGAATAATTGCATATCACCCATAAACCAAGTACTAACCACGGATCCTAACTGTCAGGATCAGTCCGAGCGGCTTGTTGGTCTCGACGGGCCTCAGCCATCGGGGGGTGACTTTAAGTCATGGGGGATCCAAGTCACCATGCTTGTTTCAATCCGAAGTCATTGGCATCCATGACCTGGATGGTGTGGGCTAGCACATTTTAGGAAACCTGCACAAAGCCATTGGGCCATAGAAGGTGAAGTACTCTTCAACTATCAACCAAAGTTTACCAAAGTTATGGAAATCTGGACCTAAAGGTGTCAACAGAATCACAAACATACACCCACATATCACCTTTTCGATAGCTTTGGAGCGCTGGACCTGGGCATATCACATCTTCCCATGGCTTCACCCTGCCCATCCTGCCCTAGCCATGGCACAAAGGCACGTCATCAAATGTCGGGACGGGCCTTGGCCATGGAACGGGGTGCATCCAATGGATTGGCTTCAGAGAAAATCTCAAGGATACCGTGGTTTTTTTTCGATCGAAATATGGGGGGGTTCCGATGGGGTTTCCGGCAAAATATCCCATTAATGGCAGGAATCCTGGCCCCAACAAGTGCGGGCAGCTTGTGGATATGAAGAGAAGAAGCTCGCGAGTTTGAGCTGCAAAGGATCCACAGAATCCCTCCCATGAACATGTCTGTGGGTCCGTCTCGCCGGCGGCAGGTTGCAACCTGAAATTTATATGAGTCAATCGTAGATCATCATCCCAATTAATTAAAAACAAGGGAAAACCTGAATGTATGGTTAAAACATATTAAAACCACTAAGCAGTCTCCACTGAGATCAGATTGGCACCCAGTGAGGCTGCCCATCTACAATCACCTCTAGTGATGAATCAGAATCTCCAAATTCTGGCTGCTCAAATTATGGCTTGTATCAACAAGTGGCCAACTCCAGGTTTCAATGTTGTTTGCCAAACAAATCTGACTAAAAAAAGCTCTGAAGAGTGTGTCTGGTTCAAGGCGTTGCCATCCTTTAAATATATATATATATATATATATAAATCTGGTAGAATATGAAGCTAACCACTTTGAACCCCATCCCGCATCGAAGCTACAAGCCCCAGTGACAGAGGCTTCGACGGCTTCGCGGCGATGGGAGCCGTAAAGAAGCTGGCGACCTAAGTGGACGGAGACTGGGAAAATCTTTCAGGCTGCTGTTTTGAGTTGATTACAGCACTTGGATAGGTTTGATATTTTAAGGATCCCTGAGAGGAGTAGGGCAAGTCATGGCAAGTCACAGTCTTGTTTTCACGACTTGCTTTTCTATCCATTAGACCCCGATAGGCATTTGAATGTTTGGACAATATGGCGGCGGAGCTCAGGCAGAAGGGTTTCCCATGGTTTTCCCAGAAAAATCAAGGATGGTTCCATCATGATGGATGTAATGCCTTAAATATCTTAAATAAATAACCAAAGCTCCAAGCCTTCCTCACTTGGCCCATCTTGGCCCCAAGACCTCTGCTTCACGCTGAAGCTGGCTAACCTGATGACAGGGAGAAAGATTCGCTTTAGCATGCTTTAGCGGCTTTTGCGGTTGGGTTCGCCCCGTCCACCCAAGTATGGGTCCAAAACATCAAATATCTAGAGATACCATCCAGTTTAGGTCAGGGCTGGGTGTTAGAGCTGTTTGGAAAAAAAAAACAAAAGGCATGGTCAAGAATAGTTCCTGACCTTTGAAATTGTGGCTGTGATCCATTAATCATTAATCTCATTCCCCAATGACGCCCCCTACATGGGACCCTAAAATGACCGAATCCAAGACTTAAACACGTTTTCTGGGCAGTATTTCATATCAGGGGGAAGGGATGATATGACAATATCATACTATATACCTGGTTTGTCAACAGAGTCAGCCAGAATTCAGTGATTAATCAACATGTGCTTTATTCAAAAGGCTGTTTGGGGGTTAAATCCACCTTTTTCAGACACATCCAAATACATATCGTATACATATCGTATTCTATCCCCATAACATCCCGCTCTCCATTGTATCCCACATGTGTTGGTTCAATCCCCATTAAACAAAAAAACAACCAACTTTTTGCCTGCTCTTTCTGCACTTTTTCAGCAAGGCTCCGTAGCTCCTGGTCTGAAAATGGTGGATATAGAAAGGGCTGTTAATAGAGAAAATGATGATTAACTAATGAATGGAATGGGGTACCGATTTTCAGACAAACCCAAATTTGGTTTCTTGAATATCTCGAACGATTGTCAAACAAAACAGTTATACAAATATCCATGTATAATCTAATCATGTACTTATGTTTTTGTTTCCAAATATATACATCCTACATACATGATCCTATTGATGCACCTAATATGTATAGGATCAAAAAACACAAACAACAAATCATCCAAATATTGGATTGATATTTGGTTATTATGGATTTATATATACAACCATCATTTAAGGTATACAGTATATCACCAAGCAATGTGTATAATTATGATGGTTTACCTTAAATCCACATCTTCCAACTCACTCCAGGAGCCACTCCTCGTACAACGAGGTAATGACCCCACGGCGATGAGCCACCTCTGCTAGAGGTGGCTGCAGGTCTCACTTCGGCTGTGCCACAACTGGTCATTTGAAAGTAAAAAAACTGGGAGCCAACTTCAAACTGCAGTTTTCTCCATCTTCCCCAACTACTTCGAACATGTGTTTCGAGATGTCCTTGGGTCGTTTTGAAATCATTGATTTTTTGATGGATTTTGTTGCTGGATCTTCATCTGGTTGGTAGTATACCTACCCCTCTGAAAAATAATATTAGTCAGTTAGGATTATTATTCCCAATATATGGAAAATCATAAAATTCCATGGTTCCAAACCACCAACCAGTCATGGTCCAAACCATCCAAAATGACTGGGGCCCCACCTGGTCCCGGCTCTCTGTCACCACTTCTCCGAGGTCGCCCAGGTCGCTCAGGTCCTGGCGGACCGCCATGGGAGGGACGTTTTTTTGGTTGTTTTACGGGACGAGAAATGATGATTTGATACCAACCAAAAATGGAAATGTCACCAGGAAATCATGGAAAGATCAGATTTGAAGCAATTCCTTTAGGGGTGGTAAAGGTATAAAGGTCCATAATTTGAAGGGCTGGGACCCATAGGTTGACGTCGCCCAATGTTCAGCAATAACCACATAGCATAAAGAAAGGACTACAGTACTTCGGAGGATGAAATGTTGAGACTTGTTGAGACTATGGTTGAATCGAGATTATCTTTATCCTTCCGTCTTACGATTCTACTGATCACTACGGTGTTGAGACAAAGAGATGCGACTGCGCGAGATTCCACCATAAAAGACAATGTGTGGTGAAACTTCGGAACTATATATTTCTTCAGCAACCTCCAAGAAAAAACTCGCAAAAGCACGCAAAACGAAAGATCTCCTCGACAGACGCTTCCAACTGCGCAACCCTGGCCTGGCCGTGGCAAAACTGGCCAGTCTTACTGGGTAAACCATGGTAAACCCATCCGCTTTGGTGTCTCTGTAATTTGGTGAATCTTGGTGATTCGTATCTATCCACTTAGTCACTTGTGATCAATTCCAGCGCCTGGATGCTGTTGAGTTCGCCCGTCACTTGCCTGGAGGGCTTCTTACCAAAACCACATGGGAAGTTCCCGAGGAGTTCAAAAATTTCAGGAGGGTTTCAATGGCTTTCAATGAGTTAAATGAGTTCATGGGTTTGAATTGGCTGAATCAGTTTCAATTTTCAAAGGATTCTCAAAGGTCAATGGATTCTGACATTTTTGACGCCATGTTCCTACCATTTTCCTACCATTTGGCCACCTGTCCGACCTGTCCAAGCATCGTCGCAACTCCTTCAAGCGTTCACGTTGTACCTCCAAGACATGGCCATCCCCGAGCCCAGTCGGCGCCCAGTCGGCGTGCATTCATGAACTCTAGCATGTTTTTTCTAAAACATGTTTTTTCATACTTTAAAGTGACTTTTATATATTTTATTTATAGTTATTTATAGCTATATCATCTATATCAAACCACGGTAGACCCTCCAATTTCCTTCGCTTCAACAACGAAACATCGACGAAGAAAAACCCAACGACGCCTCTGCGTGGTCCATAAATCCACCGCGTCGGGGCCGGAAACCTGGACCTACGGCGCTACGGCAACGGAAAAAATGGTGCTGTTGTTGTTCCCAAAGCTGTGTAGTTTGATGTTCTTTTTAAATGGAACATAGGTATACTTAGTTGAATGGGAACATATATATATATATGTTTATTTATTGATATATCAGTTTTTAATGGGAATATAGGTAGTTTAATGGGAATATACCATTTTTGGGGGGAAACCCTTGCTCGCATAAACCTACCCTGACTGGGGGGATGGTGTGTATCCCGCCCATTAAAATGGTGATGACTTGGGGATGGTTTATAGCATTACTATGTTTTGCAAACCAACTGCTGTTTTGATTCCTAAATTGAGACTTTGGGTTTCCGGACTAGCAGTTTGCGAACTGGAAATCATTATCATGTTGATATCATGAACTAAATGGGAAATGTTCCATACCAGTAGCGATGTTAAATTACCGAAGGTAAATGGGGTTGTAAAACCCAAAAATAACCAGAAAATCGCAATGGTTCATGGTAGCAATGCTATGCTAGGTAAAGTGAGTCATTTGACTCTACGGGTAAAATTTGGGGATATCTTGAATGGGTCAATATATTCCAACTGGTGATATTGAATGGGGATCATGGGATAAAGAATGGGTATAGTGAATTGCCCATATGTTTATTGATTATATTATTTGAAATGGGTGGATATCTAATGGGGATATATAAACGACATATATGATTTGGCGTTGTCCAAAAGTAAGGTATACCCCCAAATGACACTTTTAATCAGGCATATGATCCTCAATCATATTCAAGACCTTCAAGGCATGCGGTTGGCCAATACTCTCCCAAAAGAGATAATCAAGATGGACGCATCCAAAAAAAAAACGAACCCCAACTTCACTTGTAGCAGCCCACCCAAAATCCGTCAAAATCCACTCAAAAAGACAAAACAGAACAACAAAAAACCATCTAAATCTGTCAAATTCCATCAAAATGAATCACACATCCATAAAAATTAATCAAAAATCCATAGAAACTAATCAAAAATCCATAAAAATTAGTCAAAAATCCATCTAAATCTGTCAAATTCCATAGAAATGAATCAAAAATCCATCAAAATCCACCTCCTGCTGTGGCTCTGATATGCTCTGATGGTAGGCTGAGCCCATCTCCATTCTCCATGACCTCCCCGACCTGCGTCCACGCCGGCCAGGCGCCGGAACTCGTGGGTCAAATCCTGGCAACGGAGCGACATGGAGATTCCACAAGAGAATTGATGTGGATCAATAGATACTAATACACATACATACATATGTATAATATATATATAATATGTACTAATCATAGATATAATGAAATATTAAATACGATAGATATTATAGCATTTAATAGCAATGTCAATATCTACTACTTTGTACTATACATTACTATACTATTTATCCACTTCCGTAGGTACATAATACATACTACAGCAAGTATATAGTAAAGACCAGTCTTGGTGGATTTTGATGGATTTGGGGGGTCCCAGAGACACGTCCATACCGCTGTGATATCGCAGGCCTTGAAACTGTGCATCATCTGTGATCTTTGATCCCTTGAAGTATGATCCAACTGGCCAGCAGCACCATGCTGTCAGCTGCAAATGGTCAGCCCATGGCACCGAGAACTCTGCGCAAAAAGGCAGAAATATATCATAACAAGTTGGCTGGAAGCGTTTCAGTGAGTCTGTCGAGTCTGTCCCTACAGTAAACACTGCTGCACCCACTATACCCGCGAAGCGGTGAATGCCAGATGCAACTCCTCAAGTTTCAGAACGATTGGCTCCACGACTCCATACCATCTTTTACCAGCTGCCATTGGCTGCCATTGAGGATGGGCTTTCAAGATCTTTCAAGGAGCATGTACGGGGTTGCCGGGTTGCCTCAATTCATGAGCAGATGCTTAGATTTCACGGGCCTGAGTTGCATGAAACCCGGACACATTTTGGTCTTTTGCACATAAGCCCTGCAGGGCAGCAAGAAGCCAAGAAGCTAGATGGTCAGCATTCTCTCTCAGTTTTGGGTCAACTTTACGGGTACGCACCCAAGAGGGACGAACATATCCCTTCCGGAAAGCGATCAATATGCAGTACATCATCAACATGACACGCCTTGCTGTTGTTGTACCAACTAAAGCAACTGTTTCGTTTGGAGAAGGCATTTCTTTATCCACTCCACCCTCCACTTGCTGGACTCCCATAGCAGGCCTTAACATGGCCTCGTTGCACTTCCACACTTTGTTTGGGCAAGAACTTCCAGGAAACCCATCTGGTATTCTGCACGGGAGTGATTTTGGAGATCAGCTTGGCTTGGGGAGGACAGAAGAATAATTGCCACCGTTTTCAAGTCCCCAAATCATCAAATCAACCTTCCTGAACAGCGACATTTCTTCCCATGCGTACACAGCATGCAGGCACACGGCCACATTAAAATTTGCTGGAGACGTGGGAGTCCTATCTACTGTTAGTATCTACTGCAAATCACCTCAAACATCGAAGAAGTCGATGTGAGCTGCGTTCCTGAATTGATCGATGCAGCTGCTGGGATGATCTGGGCACGACACGCCTCCATTTTCCGGCAGGTGGTTTCTAAAGTCGTTTGGTGTCATCTTCCCCAAAACATCAAACCTTTCTGCCAGCTTTCCATCTTAGCCAAGCTGCTGAAAGCTGTCCTCCTTCAACAACTTCATCAACTTCTCCTGAGTGCGCGTTTCCTACCCCAATGTGAGCAGTATTCAAAACCCGACAAGTCATGCCTTTACTATACTGGTTGATAGGATTTTCGATATAGTGGGTTGTGAAAATCCCCATTTTTTATCGGATAGTATGACCCCATATAATCATCAATGAGCAATCAACAGGGGGGTTAGACACTGCTCTAGTAAAAACTAGGATGCAAATACATCTAATTAAATACGTTTTTGTCAAAAACTATCGATATGCACCGCTAAATCATGCTAAATCAACTCATGCCGACGGTGTTGAGATGATGCTTTGCAGGAATTGGTTGCCGAGCTCGACTGCGCGTATTCACAACTATGATCAAAATAGCTGGTGTATAGCTGATGTTCATCCGAATGGTAACATTGATATCGACCCATCCCCAGCATGTACAACTGGTTAAATCCCCATTCATGATGGCAAATTCCAATCAAAATAATCAAACAAAGTGCTGAAAATACCTTGATCATGAAAGGACAACTCATAGGCCATATGGCGTTCCATGACGTTCCCCATTTTTTATGGCCATAACTTGGAAAAAAAACACATGATACGCTCTGGCTATTCAACAGTCTATGGAAAATCACCATGTTTAAGAGATACATAAATCAACTATCTTCATCCATCTTCATCCATTATTCATTCACTGTTCATCCATTTTTGAGCCAAGAGTTATCGAACATTTTGGAGAAAGATGTCAGAATGAGAATGAATAAGTGGTATGAAATTCCAATGACAGCAAAAATCATAGATCATCCCATCCATTCTTCGCAAAGCGTGAAAGGACCGGGCGACGGCGCTGTCCACCAGCTTCACCAGCCGGTCTTGCTTCTCCATCTCCTGGTGGCCGACGTTGCCGTAGAAAAGTTCGGCATTCAATGGCCATACTCTGGGGTATCCACCATTTTTGGTATGTATACTAATGTGTATATATATATATATATTTGTATATACTTATATATACTTATTTGATAATATATACAGTAATATACATATATGATTATTTATGTATATGATGATCATATATGCATGTATATCATGGTGATCTGCTGAAACAATTCGATTCTGGACGAAACATTTTATGATTGACGGTGATGTAAGAATACTTGATTTTGACGTACCTGTGATTTGTAACTTGCTCTTCTGGAAGTGCCATTCTGCAGGTTTGAACTAAGTTATGATAAAGCCCTAAAAATCCCTAAACCGTCTGCACTCACCTCCGTTCAACTCCTTTCTGCAAATTCAGACCTGTAAAGTCCATCCGCCAAATATCTAAACAGGGCATAAGGTAGATCATGAATTTCCCCCATCTCAACTCAAGCTGTACGATCTTCAAAAAGTGACCATTATCTATCATGCAATCATGCAATCTATATGCCATACGTCCGCCCCTTCCATGATTTTTCCCTTCCTTGATTGCTCGTTTGCCAGGAGAAGCGGACACTCTCTGAACAATTACATTTCACACATGAAAATCAAATGAGGACAGTATACTGATTTAGCATATGTACTAACCAAAAAGATTGGACCAACAAGTCATCAAATCGGTGTGTCCAAAAGGCGGGTGTACCCCAAAATGACAATCTTAATAGGGAAAAATGATGGTAAGCCACTTGATTTTAGGGGTACCATGATGGGACAATCCCAATCTCCCGCCACCCCTTATCTTCACCGTCCTGGAATTGCTTCAATACTTCGTCGTCAGGACATGTGGTCAAAATCTCAGGGAAGAGCACGCGGTAGGGGGGGTAGGGGGGGAAAAATCTGGTAGCTGATAGTTTTTCATCCGAAAAAAATGATAAGTTCATGATAAGATCATCTATATAACATCACTTAAATTCATGTAGTGGTGGAGGAGGGCGGGGGGCGGCATTTGGTGCTTAATGGCGCTTAAACCGCAGCCACGTGGCAAACAGGGGTCATGTCAACTGTCTCAAAGTTGGCTTAAGGGAGATTCTGCAAGAAAACCATGGCAAATATGTATATATATATATATATATATCTGTACACATTAATTAGTATATTTTAGTATATCAGTACATCATCATAATATCAGTATATAAATGTCTCTGATGTTGAAAACCACAATGTTCTATCAATTTCAGTAAATGGTCCCTTTCTTTCATCCCTTGCCACTGGATCATCAAAACCTCCGGGCCTCCTTCATCATCTGCGTATCCATGGGTCCAGGCGCCCAAGATAACGTGCGCACCTCAAGGTGGGATGAGAGGGTGGTTGGTCAAACAGGTTGGGAACACATGGGAATACCATATATTTCTGCTGATATGTCTGTGATGTTTGGCAACTATCATCAATGATCTATTTTGGCGACTATCATCAACCAGGATAGAGCATCATTTGTTATGTCAAAACAGATGATGATGATGATGAGGAGGGGGAGGATGACGATGACGTTGATGATGGTGATGATGATGGTGATGATGGTGACGATGATGACGATGATGATGACGATCATGATGACGAGGATGATGACGATTATGGTGACGATGATGATGACGGTGATGATGACGATGATGATGACGATGATGATGATGATGACGATGATGATGTTGCTGATGACGATGATGATGATGACGACGATGATGATGATGGTGATGATGGTGACGATGATGACGATGATGATGACGATCATGATGACGAGGATGATGACGATTATGGTGACGATGATGATGACGGTGATGATGACGATGATGATGACGATGATGATGACGATGATGACGATGATGATGTTGCTGATGACGATGATGATGATGATGACGATGATGATGACAATGATGACGATGATGATGATGATGATGACGAGGATGATGACGATTATGGTGACGATGATGATGACGGTGATGATGATGACGATGATGATGATGACGATGATGATGATGATGATGACGATGATGATGACAATGATGATGACGATGATGACGATGAGGATGATGATGATGATGATGATGATGACGAGGATGATGACGATTATGGTGACGATGATGATGACGGTGATGATGATGATGATGATGACGATGATGATGATAACGATGACGATGATGATGATGACGAAGATGATGACGATTATGGTGACGATGATGATGACGGTGATGATGATGACGATGATGATGATGATGACGAGGATGATGACGATTATGGTGACGATGATGATGACGGTGATGATGATGACGATGATGATGATGACGATGATGATGATGATGATGACGATGATGATGATGATGACGATGATGATGACGATTATGGTGACGATGATGATGACGGTGATGATGATGACGATGATGATGATGATGATGACGATGATGATGATGATGATGACGATGATGACGATGATGATGATGATGACGAGGATGATGACGATTATGGTGACGATGATGATGATGATGATGATGACGATGATGACGATGATGATGACGATGATGATGATGATGATGATGATGATGATGATGATACAGTAGTTGCCAAACTTGGGGTATGTTTGTCGGTACTCGATGTCCGACTGAATCCTAGGAAGGGGCTTCAAGCCGGGCGCTCCAGGGTCATCCTGAAGATTGGGAAATCAAACTTGAGAGTATGATCATTGATGTCCAGCTCCAAAGTGTGACCTTGATATCATCACTAGTGTCAGCACTCAACGGTGACTGTCTGCACCTATGGCCCGCCCTGGCTGCAGGTTGTGAACAACTGCCAACAAGTTTCTTGAGAGGCAGTTTTTGCTGTTTAGAAAACTTAGAACTTATGGCTCAAAAACTGAGGTCAAAAGCCACAGATAGCTTTCTGATTCGGATAACCGTACCATTCACAAAGTCACACCAAAGTCATTTGCCAAGCTTTAGCCAAGCTCCACCCAGGGCTCTGGCATCCATGGCACATTTCTGCACATCAGCTGCTACTGCGAGCATGTACATATCTCTTGCCGCCTACCAAGGGAGAGACGCCCTGATGGAGACTGCTCCCAGTGATGGTGGCTAGTTCTGACCGTTACAGTAATCAATGAAAGAAATCGTTCTTTTTTTACCAACCATCATTATATAATGGTTTCTCAAAGATTGGTGAACCTCAACTTATAATCCAGGTCATGTTTGTCATGGGAACCCCAACTCCCTTGATGTTCAACCCCCTGGGATTTCCCCCGCCTTGACTGTTTGGTTCCTCTTCTTTTTTGGTATATTTGTTGGTCTCCCCTAAAGATTTGGCTATTTCAGCTATTTCCTCAAAATCTCAAACTTATTGACCCTTCAAACTGATTGACCTCACCACCAGCAATCACAACTACGGGTCATGGGGTACACAATTGCCCAGGCCTTCCCAGTGGCATAGAGAGACCACGAAGGCATCACCTGGCTGACGTTGGGTCCAGGGATGAGGAGCAGGCAACTGCTCCCTACCTGCAGTGCCAAAAGGCTGGAGATGTTCACGAAAACGATGCGGACGTTGCTCTTTGGCAATTTCACCTTGCAGACTTCGATCAATTTGAAAATGGGTCGTCTTTCTTCGATCCGTCCTTTTTTTGATCCGACTGAAGGTCCATTTTTTGGGTGTTGGCAAATGGACATCCATGAGAATATTATCCATTATCCAACATGAACATGAACATAAATTAGGTATAATTATGAGGGCTTATCCTTAACCCATTTTCAGACACGCCCTTCTATAGACGCAGAATACATACTCACATCTCCGGAATCTTTTCTCGGCACCTGCTTCGAAAAACGCTGGAGAAGCATCTGTGTGAGCAGCACAAAGCTGGTGACGTTCAAATCAAGCGCGGCCTGGGAGATACACAAAGTCCTTTTTTGGTGTTTTGACCGATGAAATCTCGCGGTTCCACCAGCAAAGATAGGGATTTTGTACCCCAAAAAAAATGTTCACATATTATATACACATATATAACCAAATAATACCAAATAATATATATATATAAATATATACGTATAACAAGATATACAATATACGTATGCATTTATTTATAATGACCCAAGATGACCCAATCAAATCCTACATCCTACAGCTCACACTGTGGCACCCTGCCGCTGAGTCTGCAGCCAACTGTTGAGTGTAGGCTAAACGACCTTTCAAAATGTCAGGCCGCGGGAACCGTTCAAAATGTCCCTGAAACTTACGTATCAAACCATATGGGAGGTTCCTAAAATGTGGTATCCCCAAGTCACCATGGGCTTCAATATGGTTCAATACTAAAATAAACTAGTTTGCATCATTTAGGGTAGCCCCATTTTAGGGTATACCATCACATCAAACATCATCGAAGTATCTGATGCTGAGTGACCGGTCCAGTGGCCCAGTGGCCCGGTGGTTTCACTCCTCAAAATGATAATGGTGAGTTGATGTGAATTGGGATCATCATCCCAGGTAAGGTTTGGTTTGTTTTCTTAAAATGAAAACCATCAGACAGGTTTGGTGTCCCTTTTGACCATGGCTCAGTTCTCCACATATGTTGCAGATTGAGTCTCCATTCTTGCCAAAGGATTGGCGCTTCCAGCCGATGCTAGAACTCTCAAAATCTCCGGTCCCCAGGCTTGATAGATCCCGGTGTTGAAATATGATGCAGTATGATATGGGGAATACAAATCTTTCGAACAATGCAACACTCTTGACATGGGGATACATGGGGATGCACCATAGCATTCCATAGCATATCGCTCCCAAACTCCCAAATAGAAAACCTGGAAACCTGGATATGTTGGGTCAAAATCAGTTGTAACATCCTGAAACAGCTATGGTATCTTTACAGGGAGCCGTACGAATTTTAAGGGGCTACGTTCGATGCGTATTGCAGACATCGACCCTCAGTCCTTGAAGGCAACCGCCCATTTTTGCTCACGCCAGTTATGCAGGTGAACAGAACCCTTGGGCCAGCGGAAGGGAGTCAACAGTGCCATTTGCATATGCAGTCCGGACACAAGTGCCACAGCATCATAAAATCACCAATCACAATCTATACTCCGAAATCAACACTTTTGATCCCTGTTGTATCTTTTGTTGATCACTGCCTTTGGGCCGCCAGAGAGGCCAAACACTTTTCAAATTCAATAGCTGGCACTGCAGCTGCCACACTCAACAAGCGCGTGATCTCGTTGTGGCCACATTGAGTTGCGATGAGAAAAGGCGTTGCCCCATCATGGGTTCTAGCTGTGCAGTCAGCCCGAGCAGCAAGCAGCAAGCCAACCACGTCAACATGACCATTCTGTGCTGCCAAGTACAAAGGTGTTTCACCACAGGTGGTCCCTTTGTCGATGTCCATTCTATTCTCAATCAGCAAGCGCGCCACTTCCACGTGGCCGCTCTGAGCTGCGGAATGCAACGCTGTTTTTCCAAAGTCAGCTGTGGCGTTGGTGTCAGCCCCAGCCTCAACTAGCAGGCGCACAACTTCCAAATTGGCCATTGGCGCTGCGAGTATCAACGGTGTTGCCCCATTGGGAATCGTCAAGGCTATTTGCAAAGCAAGTCCAGCAAATAGAAAATGGGCAGGAATAACCCCAGAGCTCACAGTGGTCAATTCTCTGTCAGCCCCACCTTCAATCAACAAGCGAGCTACTTCTACATGCCCACTTAGAGCTGCAAAATGCAAAGCTGTTCCACCATAGTCAAGCGTGGCCAGGTCTGTGTCAGCTCCAGCTTGAATCAACAAAGCAACACTGTCCGCTTGGCAATTCAAAGCTGCTACAAGCAACGGCGTATAACCTTGAACCTCTGTGTCTCGGGCGTCTTTCTCCGCACCTGCCTCAAGTAATAGTCGCATTGGTTCTGTATGTCCAGCCCTAGCTGCATGGTGCAGCGGAGTTCCACCATCTGTATGCAGCACATTGGGGTCGCGAGGGCATGCTAGCAACTTTTCCAGTGTCACAGAATCATTCTCCCTTGATGCGGCCAACATCCTTGTGTCTTCCCCAATATCTGTTGGCCACCATTCCAACACCACAAGCCGGATCTTCACTGATTCAGAACCAAAAACTTCATCATCTTGGATTTGCTTGGACGTGTCTTCCAACAAGAATCTCAACCGAAATCTCGAAACGCCAATCTGAGATGCTACAAATCGCTTCATTTCTTTGGCAGTCTTGCCTTCATAGTCATCCAACAAAAGAACTACCTCGCCTGACAAAGCCGAATACACAGAGCACATCAGCCGACAATCTGTGGTGGCTGACGAATGTGAGGAAAATCAAGGGCCCTGAGGAGCTTCATTTTTTAATCGCCTTTTCGGGGGGTTAACCGCTAGTTGCAAGACTGGCGCCCACCCATTTTGATGTAGAATCTGGATTAATCTGCAGTAGGTTGTAGTATCTAGATGTGTCGAGTTCGAAGATAGCGGAGTCTAGTGTTGTATCAACAGTTCCCAAATATTCAACAAATTTTGATGTTGAAGCCCCTTAAAAAAATTAGAAAGATCTGGGGACCCTTAGAATCCGGGCGTGCAACATTTTGCAGCACATCTTGGGCAACAAATGCAGCAAATGCCTTGACGCTTTCTGCCAGTCCTACTTATCCTCACATCATTACAAGGTTCGTGTCATCTCTCTCACAATGAGGCTGTCATTGATGGCTTTCCTCACATGCTCTTCCTATGCTGGGACAATCCGGGCGATTGAATATTTTGAAGCTGGGGTGTACATGCAGAAATCTGTCCCACTTCCAGTAGATTCTAACCCAGTTCCAATAATGGATTGAGGAAGAAGGTCACACAAGGTCGGGAAACGAAGGCTGCAATGACTCATCTTAGATGCTCTTCAAACAAACAAGGGTGCATGCACACATTAACAAGAATGTTCGTCCAATCAATGTATGACTTAAAAAAACAAAAAACTGAATTACAACTTTGCCCCAGCAAATGCGAGTCATACTAAACCATGGCACAATGCTGTTCACATGGGCGAACCTCTGAAAATGTGGCCAGAGCTGAATAACTTGACCCAGATTGTCGAATGTCTACAACTTTATGGCAACCCAGGATACGTTGTAAGCCCCAGTTTACCAACAGCCCCATGGGGGGAAATAGTGACAATTCCATTATATTACATCACGAGGTCAAGTCACCAATTCACCCCGCTCACGGCTATCATTTACATATTTATGTAGTAGCTGGGAGCAACCTTGATTATGGTTGTTCCACAAAATCACCATAAATTGCCCCTTTTTCACCAAGCAAAGTGGTGCTAAAAAATCCTCCAGCCCTTAGCAGCAGCCTGATCCAGCCCCTTGAGCTTCCAGCCGAGGCTTCCAGCATTGTGCAGGACCAAGACTTCTGCCTTCGAAAATTTTGCGCACCTCGGGCGGCGGCTTCACCGTAAATTTGCGTCATCAAAGATGGCTGGGAATTCCGTTCCGAATTGTTTTTTGAGAGTCGGAGAGTCATCTACAATTATTGGGTATTATATTTAGTGCTGTAATAATGGATATCATTGTAATATATTGTAATAATATCACAAATTATGGTGGTAGTTTCCATTGCCATCTTTGATGACCAGAGGCTAGATGGTGCCACGGCCAGTGTGCAGTTTGGCCAGGTCAAATGACTTTGATCATCTGGCAGTTGAATGTGACAACGATGACTCCCTGAGACTCTTACAGCAGGTCAGAGTTCTCCGTGAGGTACCTGTCAGCATCAAAAGGAACAAAGGAGTGATGGTCACTGGACATTACCACCACTTGGGAACAGGGATGCAATGCACAACGCCAGATCCAATCAGTCAATTGGGATCCCAAGTAGGATTGAAAGTTTAGAAATATTGGAAACTGGCAACCAGTCAATCTCATTGGATATGGCCCATCCCCGTTTATTGGCATCTATAAATATATATATATATGTATATGTATGTATGTATGCTACCCCCCCTAAGATCCACATTTGAAGCGGTTTGCAATGAGTTTCAACATGAAGATTTGAAAGCAGATGGATTGGGAAGCAGCAGCAGCCTTCTAGACTTTCATTTTTGCATGCATCGTTTCTTACAAGCAATATCAAATTGTTTGCATATAGTTTGGTTTTGACAGTTTGCAATGAGTTTCAACATGAAGATTTGAAAGCAGATGGATTGGGGAGCAGTAGCAGCCTTCTAGATTTTCATTTTTGCATGCATCGTTTCTTACAAGCAATATCAAGTTGTTTGCATATAGTTTGATTTTGACAATCAGGTGCTTTTGATTCTGTCAGCCAGATGCTGCAGACAGGAGTTGCAGTTGTGACAGAGATCCGACCGGGCATGTACTCAGAAGGAGGAACCTAGTTATTGAAACAGACATAGGGACAATATATGTGTGGAATACAGTATGACCTTTTCATCCAAACGTGGCACAGATGAGCGACAATGAAAGGTGATGCGAGAAGAGCAAAAGAAGTACAGATTTTTTCACCCCAAAGATGACGCCGTCTAGGTCTAGGCCTTTGCCATGAACCACTGGACCAGTGAACCAGTTGCAGTCCAAAGATCCTGACCCCGCAGCCAGTACTCATACTGTGCTGACCGCAATTGGACGCGCAACATGCGGCTACCTACTTTGGCGTGCTGGTTGATATTCAACCTGTCCTTCAGAAAACGCCAGCAGCGGTCTATGATCTGAGTGCCCGATTTCACTCTCAGAGACTTCTTCTTGCCGGGAAGCTTGTGCGTCTTGATCTCCTCATACTTCGGAGCCATCCACACGAACTTGCCATTGGTTTTGGCTCGCTTCTTCTTGTGTACGACTCGGTCATGAAGTACACCGGGGACTTTGGTGGCATAACTCTTCGCAGAGTCTGTGGAGGATGACTTCACGGTTCTGAAGCCATTTTACTGCAAGGGGTTTCCACTCCACTTTGCGAATGGCGCCGGGTCCAGGCGCCCGGGGCTTAGAGGCCAAAGGTTTGAGACGATGAAGTACAAGCGTCTGAGGCTTTCCACGTTGGATAATTCCACACCATTGTTCCCAGTGCAGCTCACCATCGACAAGCTTCTTGTCGAAGGTTGCTTCATCGGCTTCGACATCAGCCCACGTCTGAACTGTGCCAAACTGGATTTTCTTCTCAGTCTCCACAACCCATGCTTCCCTCAACTGGCCCAACCTTTTGCTCATATCTTCAATGGCCTTGTGGTTGACATGTAGAAGACGATGAATTGTTGGATGAGGAACGCGATTCAGCAGAAGTAGAAGGAGAGTTGCTTGAATACCCAACGGCGTGGAGGAAGATCCCCAGTTACAAACTTCCCCGAGTTACACTTTGACGTGTGGTAAGGCAGGGTTGGAGGTCCCGCATAGGTTTCCATTGCTATCACAGTTTCGTATCAGTACGGTCCAGCAAAAACCATTTGAACGTAATGAGGGTTGCTTGTGTCATGTAGTTTGCAGTGGCTTCTGCGCAATTTTCGATCATCTTCTAGTCAACATTTTGAAAATTGAGCGAGTGTCTATTAGTTTCTGGGTTTTGATTTGATTAATATAAAACTTTTATGGAAATTTGTGTGTTTTGTCCTTCTCATGGTGTTCGCAAAGTCTTCCGGATGGGTTTAGTACTCGAACTCTTTAAAACATTCGAATGAGTATGGTTTCGTGTTTCTGACAGAGTGAATTTTTTAAAAAAATGCATGCAAATTAATCCAGATTTTTTTAATGGTATCATGAGAATTTTTTGGCGCAGTATCATTAACCTTTCATGTTTCGGACGTTTAAAACATGTTGAACGCTGAAAAAAGTTTTTGCTTCTTTGTTTAGAACGCAAGATTTTTGGGAAAATAGAAACTATGCCAGAATATATGTCAGATAGAATCAAAGATAGAATGTTAGATAGAATGTCAGAATACATATGTCAGCTGGTGGGGATCACTTGAAGAAAGTAATTTGTATTTTTGAAATTGAGCTGTTGTTTACATTGTAACTTGTATACTTTTGCATGTTTGGCAGCATCCTTCCAGCTGCACCCTACGGTTGTAGGTTTAATGACATGTTCAAGCAGCATCCTTCCAGCTGCATTTTTTTGGCGCCACAGTATCTAGTTCGTGTGACTGCCCGAAGAGAAAATTAAACTGCGGAAACGCTTTTTTTTGACGAGCTGTGCCATCGCTCAGCCGTGAATTGTCACGGTGGCTTGTGTCACGTCTTGTGACACCAGATCTTCTGAGACTGATTCCAGGCCTGGTCTAGCTTTGCGTTCCGCATACGTTGGGAAGCGATTTGCACAAGCCCTTGGGGTCACTTACCATCATTCTTCAACCTTGGGGGGTGGGGTGGGGCTAGGGGAGAAAAGGGTACTATTTACCAGCCACAAACCTTCTTCGACTGTATTATATGCACGCAACCGCTAATCCACTTCCTCCAACGTACCGTCAACTTTCAACCTTGGGGGGTCGGGCGGGGCTAAAGAAGACAAGGGTAGGATCTACCAGCCACAAACTTTCTTCGACTGTATTATAGGCACGCAACCGCTAATCCACTTCCTCCAACTTACCATCACCCTTCAACCTTGGGGGGTGGGGTGGGGCTAGGGAAGAAAAGGGTAGGATCTGCCAGCCACAAACCTTCTTCGACTGTATTATAGGGACGCAACCGCTACTCCACTTCCTCCAACTTACCATCCCGCTCCAACCCCGGGGGGGTGGGGTCAGGCTAGGGAAGAAAAGGGCCGGACCCACCAGCTAAAACCTTCTTCGAGTGTATTATATGCACGCAACCGCTAATCCACTTCCTCCAACTTACCGTCACCCTTCAACCTTGGGGGTGGGGTGGGGCTAAAGAAGAAAAGGGTAGGATCTACCAGCCACAAACATTCTTCGACTGTATTATAGGCACGCAACCGCTAATCCACTTCCTCCAACTTACCATCACCCTTCAACCTTGGGGGGTGGGGTGGGGCTAGGGAAGAAAAGGGTAGGATCTACCAGCCACAAACCTTCTTCCACTGTATTATAGGCATGCAACCGCTACTCCACTTCCTCCAACTTACCATCACCTCGTATCACTTCAGCTTGACAGAGGGGGAGCATAGGGTGAGATCCACCAGCCACAAACCTTCTTCTATAATACGGTGATGATGATGATGATCATCATCATCATCATCTTCTTCTTCTTCTTCGGATGGTGCCTCTGTTGTGCGCGCCCGGCTCAGTTATGCACGGATATATACCTCCTTGAATTGCTGCTCCTCATCCTGCCCCTCCTCTTCCCCCCTCATCATCCCATTCCTCCTCCTTGTCCTCCTCCTCCTCATCCTCAGCCTCGGAGGCATCTGCGTGCACAACTGAGATGGTTTCGCGCCCCGGCCGCAGCCTCATGTTCAGCCTTATTCTCATGCAGAAAGGCATCCGCGTGCACAACTGAGACGGTTTCGCGTGCACAATTGAGACTGAATCCGCGTGCACAACCGAGGCACCATCCTGTCTCTTGACTGTTGTTCCTTTTTTAGGAATCAGCGTCAAAAACCATCAGCATCCTTTCAGCTGAATTGCGACTTTACAAAAAGACACTTCCAAAAAAAAATTGGCGTTGATGTGCTTCCCTCGATCCTTCCTCGACTGTTCCTCGACATTTCCTCTGCTTTCTCGTGATGGTTTTTCAGATTCTCGCATTAAGCGTCAAAAAACATCAGCATCCTTTCAGCTGAATAGCGACTTTCGAAATTGACATGTGAACTAACTTTACCTCGAAGCTGCTCTCAGCGCGATTCGATTGCGCACTTTTTTGGTCCTCTTGCTGTTGTCTTCTTCGCCAATGGTCGACATTTTCATCCATATGCTACACCTATGCCACCCTTTTGCGAGCTCGGGCTCACATGCTACACTGTTCCTGTCAGTGGGTCTGTTGAAGTGTGCCAGAATGGAAAATCGTTTTGTTTCAAGCAATAAAACATTGGTTAGTTACTGCTTGTGGCCAGAGCCATTGACATGCAGGCTTGCAGCATATACCCAAACTACATTGGCGTATGCCAAACACATTGCGGTTCACTTAGCGGCATCTGTTGGTTGCAACAGTTCCGCTCAACCCCTAAGATGGCCCACAGGTTTTACTGCGGTCCCTTGTTTCACCAGGAAACAGAACCATACTCAGCCATGTGCGAATCAGGCCTATCATTGATTCTCAATCAACGATCTGAATCGCACCCGAAACACTTCCATTGAGAGGCCAACCATCCGCATGTCGAGAGTCACCATTGCCTTCAGCCTTTTCCTGTGTGAGATCATGAAGATCAAAGGTGGGAGCTGCAGCCTGTGCTGGCTGCTCCTCCACCACTTCCACAGGAGAATTGGTAACCGGTACATCTGGTGCTTTTGATTGATCTTCTTTGCTATTTTCCATCGCCTTGGCCTTGCATTCAGCAGCACATGACAATGCCAACAGTACAGAGTCGAGATCTGCATCAGTCTTCTTGGCCAAAGAGAAAAGCTTGCCAGCCTCGTGGACATGATCCAGACAAGCGTCATCTTTGGCGACAATTCCTCGGCACAAAATGCCCATGTGATCGCACTTTGGAAGAACCGATTCTGCGAACAACCAGCCCGCAGGGAGGTAGAACAGCTCATGCGGCCCAACAGTGCCAGCCCAGAGCGTGGCACCGTCTGGCAAAGCCACCATCCGCAGAACATCTTCGGCAGTCATGTCCAGCATCTTCTGACAAAGCTGCCCCGGGTCCACTGAGCCAAAGATTGCAATGGCAGAGGTAGCTGAGCAAGCGAGGACAGTCTTGGTCCCTGTGTATGTCAACCTCAGACTGGCTTGCCAGCCCTTCTCAGATGCAGCTGTATTGGAACCCGCTTGAACTCCAATGTGGACCACTGGCTTGCCACCACATCCAATCACCTCCTTTGGAACCAGGTCAGGAATCAAAAGCGTCTCACAAAGATTGTCCCATGCCGCATGCGCATCCAGGGAGCAAAGGGGAGCAGAGGCCCTCACCTTGGATCGTGATTCGGGGGCCTTTGTCAGATTGTTCTTCTCATTGCCTTTGACATGCCTGTTGAAGGCCCCCTCAAAGGACTCCATGGACTGCTTCAAGGCGCTGGCCTGGCCAACTTTCTTTCCATCAGTAACCAATGATGGATGAAATGATGCGACTTTGGATATATATATATATATATTTGGATCTTGGCGTGATCTTGCTTTTCTTGTAGCCTGGATAAAAAAACAAACAACCCTCACATGACTGGTGGGGAAAAATATGTTTGAAAATCAATTCTACTTTTAAGTGCTCACGAAATGTGAAAAAAAACAAAGTTTAAGCAAATAGCCTGATTGCAAGCATCGAGGTTGTTCATCTTGACAATCAAAGGCACTGAGAGGTCCAAGCTTTTGCTCTGCGAAGCAAGCGAAGCAGCATCGACGCAATGGAAGCAGCGTCCTTTCTCTAAGCCAAGCTCGAAGACAGACTGCTGCAAAACAGCACCCTTTTGTCTCTTGCGAGTGGTAGGAGCGTTTGGCATGCTTCTTTTGGCATTGCGTTGATCCAGGGCGGTCAATGCCTTCTTCAATTCCTTGACACCAACATTCACTGCTCCAAGAAGCTCAGTGATGGGTCTTCGTTGCAAGGTACGGTCACGGGCCAAGTCACGCAACTCCACTGCTGTCTGACACTTCCAGTAAGATTCCAAGGAACCCTTGATGGATGAAATCGTGGAGAGATCCGTGTACGATTGGCCTTAGTTGCTCAGCATCGTTTGAGCTGAAAGACCTTGAGCATTGTTTCAGCACCCTTTCAGCTGAAGCTTACTTTGGTGGATTCGTCTCAGTATCCTTTCAGCTGAAGCGTCTCCTGAACTTAAACACTTGCAAATTGAAAAGTACGATAAAAGAACGCATCCTAAACTGTTTCCAAGAAACTTAACATCTAAAATCTACATATCATATATATATATATATGTATGGATCTAACAGCAAAATGGCCAATGCGGTTAATGTAGCCGAAAGGCAAGGTGGAGCTTTGGACACTTGCCCCTGCTTCAGCTGATGCCCGTCAGTTCCTCCAGCACCTGCAGCATCTTCCATGCGACACTCTCCATCGCCAGGACTTGCGACTGAAAGCTCCTTTGCTGCGTGATGCTCCTTGAGGCTCTGAAGGGACGCAATGTCCTCGCAGAAACTGCATTCTGTGAACCAATGTGTCCTTCTCCACACTGACTTCAGATTGACTCTCTGGTGGCCGCTTGTCAACTAACTCCACTTGGGCCTGGGCTTCAGCTTGTTGGACAACTGGACCTGCAAGCCACACAAAGCTGTTGTCTCAGCACGCACTTTGCTTGCGATCGCAGTGTCGCGATCAAACCAGCCCTTGCGCCCAGAGGCTGCGGTAGCTTTCTTTTTGGCAGTCGCCTTTGGTACCCCCTTCTCAGCCTTGTCACCTGTCTCGGACTTACGCACATTGTCACCATTGGCAAGGCAGGCGCCCTCCAAACAAGTCTCAGTCTCTTCTTCACTGGCTGGCTCTGCATTGGCCTTCTCGAGATCTTCCAAATCAATCTCAGTTGAAAAGCTTGAAAAGGCATTTGCATCGATCGGGCTTCGGCGGGGCCGAACCCTGAGTCATGGTTCTGCAGTAGCTGGCGCTTCCTTTGACTGCCTTCTAAGTCAGAGAGACCTTTCTCAGACTTGCTGTGGCAGGTCAGCTCCTTTGCCCGATCGAACAGGTTGGAAAGATGCACACGGTCAGCCACAGGCACAGCTATGCGGAGCGTTGAATTTGCGCCTTTGCGGTCGAACATGACCTCGTCGGTGTCATTGTTGTCAGCGATCAGCTGGCTCCACTGTTTCCTCAAAGTTTTCATGATAACTTTTTGACAAACTGTTCATTGCACAGTGTAAGGGTGAAACGAAAAACCACAAATTAAACACCGAGTCAGCAAGGTTTCTGCCACATGCTTGATGTAGGCATCCTCAGGCATAAACTTCAGCTCAGTGTCGTACATCACCCTGCTGGTTGCTGTTGTCTTTTCCAGCGTGGTAAACAAAGTAGACTTGTTCACCTGTTCAAGGAACGCCGACAGTTGCGCAAGGAAGTAACCGGGAACAATGTGCACAGTATATATACAAGATGTCTGCAACTTTGTATGCTAGAAACTTAAACGTTGCTCATGTAAACTATTCATAACAAACCACACTATATAATAGAACTTGCCTGCTTCCTGCCACCAGGTAGTCCGGAATCGCCGGTCAACTCGCTGTACGTCTTCAAGATCTTTCCAATCTTAGCTTCATCCTTTCAAGTATATGTCAGGATCCTTTCATCTAAAATGGCAGAAACCACAGCATATGAGTTTCCTGTGACATGTTGCGAATGTCACAGATGAGACTGCAAGGATCCAGATGTTTGTCTAGTTGCCTGGAGCTTCTCCGTTGGCACTGCTTGCATCTGCGGCATCGCGCCGGCCGTGCCACGGGGACGTGGAGGAAGCTGCTGTTGATCCAGGTCCTATGGCTCTCCGTGTGATTATGGGGCATGATCAAACAAGTAAACTCGCTTCAATCTTTGGAAGTCTGTTTCAGCTTTCAGCTGAAATGCAACAACCCAAACATAAGACGCGCTTGTCCTTCTTGGGAGTCACTGGCGACTGAGGCAGCGGATCGCATGCCAAGGGGTAGTTGTCCAAGACGGAACTGAAGCAGACGCTGCTTCCTTAGTCTGAGCCTCTTCTTCTGCATTGGCTTCCTCTCTCTCCATCTCTCTTCTTGTCTTACGCCATTGTCTGGACTTAAAGCCACTACTGTTGCCGATCCGTATGGCGCTGCCGTCTGATCGCCTGACACCCAGAACGAGCGAAGTATGCTCTTTCTGCAGCGAGGCGCTTGCTCTCCTTTGACCATGGATTGCTCCAGCGCGGCTTCGGCTGTTTGCGCGGTAGGTTCGCCATTCCGGACATTTCGCAGTGGCAGTGACAATAGTGACACTAGTAGTTAAATAGCTGTACTCGCGACAATGACTTCGTGAATACTTTGCTATGGGTGTGGTGCGCTGCAAATTCTTAGCATGACATGTTGACGAGTTAGGGATGGCGAATCCAGGCCTGGGACATTGAGCCACACACACAATTCCGTGCAGTTTCTTCCATTGACACGTGGAAGTGTTTCTTGAAAAGGATTTGACATGAATCGGTCATATGTGAATATATATATATACATATACATATATATATACGTATGCACACAAAAAAATGAAATTATGACGTGATGACAGCCAAGTGAGACTATGATGCAAACGTGCCTCTACAGAAATGGCTTCGGCACCATCACAACGTTGCCTCGCAGATCGCAGAATCTCCGGTGCAAACTCTTGAATCAGTGTGGCAACCTCTCGCACTTGATGAGGGGACAATACTCCATATTCTGGACGTGGTGGCTCTGACCCAAAATGAACCTGCATCTGAACCTGGGGTGGCAGCTGCACCAGCAGAGGAAGCCACCGACCCATGCATGGAATTGTCTTCCAAAGGCCGTGCGAAATCAAGTCTAAGACCGGTTGTACAACAGGAAGCGCCAAACATTGAATGAAATCAATTTCTAACTTCTGAGCGACTTGCGACACGGTCAGTGGCGTCCCAAATCTATCCAGCACAATTTCATCACCCAAAACACTTGGATGAGTCACATAAGGTAGATACGGTTCGCTTCTAGATGCTGGTGCGACAAAATCCGGCCTCCGACTCTCTCTGAGATCGACTTCTTCCACGTGCCCATCGTCACATCTATGTAATTTGACATTGACGCGCTCTGAAATACGGACGCCGCAAACTTGAAATTTGAAGGCTTCGATGATTCGCAAAGAAAAAAAATCGGTTGGAAACCCAAAGAAATCCCATCCCCAGAACTCCTCCTCATTGAGCAATGTCAGTGTGCTTTCTCTTACAGCACCCACTGTGGCCACAACGAGCAAAGTAAACACATGGCTAGAATCCTGGACACTATCTCGAACTAAAAATCCTCTGGATTTCGCCTCTGCAACCAGCCTCAGATACCATTCTGTCCTTGGGCACCACTGCCGGGTGTTTACCTTTTTTGGTTTCTCTCTACCAGACGCGACTGAATTTTCCTGAATTCGCTTTACAACATAGCCATCGGGCAATCCGTGCAAATAGAAGAGAAGCATTCTCCCACACGGTCACATACGGCACAATCGAGCGGTGTCGATCAGAAAACATGGCGGCACAGGTTCCCGTCAAATTCTAAAATACTGTGAAAATAAATCCCTCGTGAGATCAGAGTTAATTGCCTTAATTTCTGTCATGTGGCTCGATACTTGATATGGAAATGATAAACTCAAAGGCCAAAAATGATGATCTACTGAAAACCAACCACTATCAGCATTGGAATTAGATCACGCTCCTGTTTCTTTAAAAAACACTTCTCCAGTTCTTAAGCCTATTCGTATGAACATTCTGATCACCATCAAGTTTGCTGCCATTAACTTAATACTGTGAATTTTTCACTTCATTGCAAAAATACACCTTCCACAATGGACCTGTTTTCAAAAAATGGCCGGGTTTTATGCCACGATTTGCTCGACATGCCTTTCACCAGCAGCATCCTTGCAGCTGCAATGTACTGATGATGCCGCATCCCACTGTTTGAACTTGATTTTGTATTTTTCGTTTTGGCGTCTGCGACATACAAGAAAACAAAACTGTATAACAATCTACCAAAGTTTAGCCACCAACTGATAGCGGCTATCCGTGAAATTGCCAACTGAAGCAGTACCGTAGTCGCCGCCTAAGCAAAAACCATGAAATAAATTTTAAAATAAGCAAATTCATCGCATCCCGTTATTTCCGCAACAAGTGTAAGCTTTAAATCACCGTGAAAGAACTCCAACCCTATATAAACGCCCAAAAACGAAGAAAAAAAAACCTTTTCCGTTCACTATGATGCCATATCATGTCATATGAACCGATGTGAAGCTCAAACTTAGAGAAAAAAAAGTAAATGATCACTTTTCCGGTCTTCCTTTTCCATTTCTAATCCAGATCCAAAGTGATGACTTAAAGTCACCTAAAACCCGTCAAACAGTTCCCTGGGGGAAGTTCATATCCCCAGTGATTGACAAAAAGTGGGTGGTCATGGTGTGGGTTGACAAATTTGTGGCATTGCTTGGCAGAACATCGATGCCGCACACTACCAGAAGTAGCAGCCAACTTGCCCACAGTCCCTTTGCCACAGTGAGGGCATGTGGACCCTTCCCAAGAATGTAGAAGACCATCCTCTCGCCGCATAGCTACCCAAGATGATGGTGCGGCTGTCAAGATCTGTGTCAGAGACCGCTTCCATTTGCAACGATCCAGGCGAAGCGAAGGCAAAGCTTCCGGGGATCGGACATAGTCGACCTTCTTCCAAGCCTTTGTCTTCAAGGTAGCCGGCCGCTTCAGCACTGACCGTAACTTACCCTTCTTTGGCACAGGAAAGTTGCAGAACTTGGCAACCATGATTGTGTAGAAGCAGCTGCAAGCAGTATGGCTAGACAGGAAGCTGAGAAGGGACAGGCGCCAGTGAACCTTTCATTTTTGAGCCCAAGGCAAAGGAAACCTGCAAGGATGAACAAGAAGCAATGCATGTAGTGGTGAGATTTTGCACATAGTAACAGATGGAATCATGTCTGAAACTTCAATACCAAAGAGCAACTGGAGGAGCCTCCAGAATTAGATGTCAGGAGCTTCGCCCGCTGCAGGCCAGTCATCATCGAGACGGTCCACCCCTTTCTCGAGTTCACGCTCCAAGATGTCCTTCTCCTCGTCATCTGCATCTGGGAGGCCCAGCATGGCATTGGTTGGGTTTGGCTCTGAGGGCATAGCAGTAGAGGCGAACGAGTATGATTTGCGTTTCTTTGGGGAAGGTGTATCCAGTTCGATGATATGACCAGAAGTGGGACGCAAAGATCGGAAAACAAGGGGCTCTGTCTTCACTTTGACCTCCTCGTTCACCTGAAGGTCCCAGTTCGTCCAGCCCATAGAAGCGCGATCGGTGTCCACGTCCACAGGATCTTTCTTGGTTTCACGAGCGAGCGAGGCGTGGCCATCTTGGTACCTGAGTGACAGTCAGAGGAGCAGTACAGAAAGACAAGATTGTTTAATACTAGCAAGGCAGGGATAAGAAAACGTATATGCAGACTGAGCAGCTCCTGTTCCTCCATCTTGACAAAAGGGATGCTGTGCATTTTTGCTTCCCGTACTTGGCGTTCCTGCTGACGTTTCTCTTCTGCACGCTTGACATCACCTCTACGCATAGCTTCAGCCAACCAGGCCTCAATTGTGGCAACAGAAATTAAAATTAATAGAACGTATGCATAAGGAGAAGCTATATTTTGGCAAAATAGTAGGATGTGTTTTCTTGCAATGATTGAGTCAATCCATGTTCTTCAATAAGCAAGGCACTGACTCCCACGCAACATGTTCATCAGAGTCTGCAGGAGGAGGACCACCTTCCTTGTAGTTCTTCAGCTTCGGCTTCGAGGAGTCGAGAAGATTCGAGAAGGATGTCTGCCTTGGTCCAGCGAATGCGACGTGCTTGGATGGTATGCTCAGATGGGAGGCGGTAGGTGATGTGTTGCTTGCCAAAGATCACGAAGGCACTGCGTTTCAAGATGGCCATGGCATCTGTACGCGACATGTTGCCTAAGGCAGGTCGAATCATCGAGAAGAAGTCCTCGTGGGAGACTGTCAGTGCATCCTCCGTGTTGTTGTCTTCAGGTTCGGCATCGGGGTTAAAGGCATTATCCAAGACGATCCGAAGTTGATGCCGAACAAAACTTGCCGCTTGTCCAGCGGGCACGAGTCATAGACTCATCATCTCCAACATCAGTGAATGCTTTCAACTTCTTTGCTTCTTCTCCACCAATGCTACCGTCATCGTACAAGGCTGGACAGCATTTCGTAAATGGAATCCCTTTGCAGAAATCAAGATCGGCTGTGGTTCTAAAATTGCCCATGCCTCCATGGAACCTGGAGAACATCATAGCCATGATGCGACCGAGCGGGGTTTTGCCTCTTCCTGCTTGACACAGAAGCCAGAGGGCATGATCTCGAAGGGTTGGAACGATTTCCTCCATAATGTCCCGAATCTCTGGCTCAACATCGGCGAAGGTCAAGTCGTAGCGGTTGCATAGCTTAGCTACAGTAGAATCGTTTGCCAAAGAATCCAATGCCTTTTGTACTAATCTCTCTTGCCAGCCATGGATAGGACAACCTTCGAGATTGATATGGTGATGGATCCATTTCAATTGTTTCAGATCACTTTTATCAAGCTCACCATGTTGCTTGATGAAGTCCCAACCATCATCTTCAGGCGGGGTGGCAGAAGAAGTGGGTCTTTTCTTTTCAAGGGTCAAAGTCAAAGTGTACTTGCGGAACTGAGTACCGCCGAGCTGTTCCAACATCCATTGAAAGGCCTTCCTCACGATCTTCTTGTTGTTCTGCCCCCAAGCAATTTCATAGCCATTGCCATGAAGAAAGTCCTTGAGAGTAACCGCGGGAACTTTATCATTGGGGATGTAGATGACAACCAAGAGATCATCGTCGGAGTGAGGCGGTAAGAAGTATTGTGTGATTGTTTCGAAGGTAGGGCGGCCTTTCAGCTTCAGGACCTCGGGAAGCTCATGCCACGCCTGATCCCTGAAGACAGCCTGTAGGGATGGCAGGTCAATAGAAGCTTTGGGAACATCGGTGATCAGATCCACAAAGTGCTTGATGGAGGGTGAACTAAGATCGAGGTTCTTGAGCGGTAACTCTAATGCATTGAGGGCGCCAGGCGGCATGGGTCCTACACAGACATGTGCTGGTAAATCACGAAGGTAGAGACTCTTGGTAGCCTCAATGGCGTTCTCGAGACGCAAGTCATCTGGCGAGATTGACACCGTGCTTGTGAAAGACAGATGCTAAAGGTTTGAAACGACTTGGCCGCAGAAGCAATGTAGACATGTGAAATCATCATGACGTGCAGATGGAACAGACAGACATGTGAAATCATCATGACGTGCAGATGGAACAGACAGACATGTGAAATCATCATGACGTGCAGACGGAACAGACAGTTTTCAGGAATCAACATTTGCAAGTAGAAGTGTTACTAGTGGGTCAGTCGAGGGGTTGAGATCGAAAAGACTATTATCACTCTGACAAGGTGAGCTGCAGAACAGTTATCCCTTTTTTCCAAAGCCAATCAAGCCACCGAATGTCGTTCAAAGCGTGTGACAATTAACCAGCAGAAACATGTTGAGATGCTAGTGTGCATTGACAGACTGAACATTAATCTACTTAGTTGGTTGGAGAGACACCCACAATAACAAGTCTGTCACGCGCCCTCTGGTGTGTGTGGTGGCGATTCCGGCCACCAGGCCTCCGGAGGAGTCAAAGGGAGCGCTCCTAGAGGTGGTGGGCCGGGAGGAGTTGCAGGGGCAAATGCATCTAGGGTGTCATCGGTGGTGGCCCTTCGGGCGTACCAGGCGACATCCCCAGTGATGGTGGAGTGACAGGCAATGGCCACACAAGAACACCGTCACGCCATATTCCCCACAATTCAGGCGGTGTCATGGGGGCCGTCTCACCAATGTCCATGGGAATGTCGTACCGAGGTGGATATCAGGGGGGGGTACCATATATTTATTTATATATATATATATATGTATTTAAAAATAAAACATATATATATATATATTGCAACTCCCAAAAAGAATCAAAAAGATAGAAAGGCAATTTCCCACTATATGAGAGACTATAAATTATAAGTGATTATTTGTCATTGTTTGCTAGGATTAAAAGCAATGTTGAATCATTTGGGGGGTTACTATAATTATACTGGTTGCGACAACATTAGTACACCAACCATTCCCGCCACAGCCATGCAGGTCACTGCAACACAGGCTCGAGCAAGGACTGAAGCTCCGCGGGCCTGAAGAATTGAGGATATGCCGCCCCAAATAGCCAATCATTTTTTGTAAAATGATGAATCCTGATTTTCGTAAATCCTGTTCTTCTTGGAAAATGCATTTTTACCTTTTTTTTGGAAAATGAATGAAATTGATTGAACATACGATGATCTTTGCATCTAGCATGAGATGGATGATTCTTTGGAAAAAAAATGTAGTATAAACATGTATCAAGCATGAGATTATATGGGGCCTATTTCCAGCCTCGTGGCTTGCAGAATGGGCAAATGATCCATTTTTTTCAGATCGGAAATCATCTTCCAGACCCCCAGCAACAGTGGGGATGAGTCAAAACTCAACGAAATGAGTGGATTAACATACCAAGATAGACCAAGATATACCAGGTGTTTTTCCAAGGTAGACCAAGATATACCAGGTTTGTGTCCAAGATCTACCAAGATACACCTTGCGGCCTGCGACCACAAAACCCACTTCTGCCGAAGGGCTTCCCCAGATCTGCCAGGAAGCAGCGAGCCGACCCGGCAGGGTGCAACCTTAGGTGTCTACCACTTGGAGCGTGACTTTTGGAACTATGAAGATATCACTTGAGAGGGGGGGGACGAAAGGTAGGGGGGAAAAGACAGGAGGGAGAGGCAAGAGAAGGTGCGACTGTTTGTAACGCAAGCACGCCGACGACGACGACGACGACTACTACTACTACGACTACTACTACTATGACGACGACTACTACTACTACTACTCCTACTACTACTACTACTGCTACGACGACGACTACTACTACTACTACTACTACTACTACTACTACGACTATGACGACTACTATTCTAGTACTATTACTAGTAACTACCTACTACGACTACGACTACTAGTACTACTACTACTACTCACTACTACTACTAGTACTACTACTAATACTAAGTAACTACTACTAACTACTACTATTACTACTACTACTACTGACTACTACTACCTACTACTCTATGAGTCTACAACTACTACTACTATAGGAACTACTACTACGGACGATGACTACGACGACTACTACTACTACGACGACGACTTACTCTACTACTACGACTACTACTAATGACGACGACGACGACTCCTACTACTACTTACGCTGACTACTATTACGACGACGACTACTACTACTACTGCTAACTACTACTACTACTAACTTATACTACTACTACTACTATTACTATTACTAACTAATTACAATTCCTTCCACTACTACGACTGGCTACTACTACACTACGACTACTCCACTACGACTACTACTATTACTTATTACTATGTCCTTCTACTACTACGACTGCTCTAACTACTCCTACACTACTACTACTACCACTACCACTACCACTACCACTCAACCACTACCATACCACTACCCTCCAACTATCCCTACCACTACCACTACCACTACCACTACCACTACCACTACCACTACCACTACCACTACCACTACCACTACTACTACTACTACTACTACTACTACTACTACTACTACTACTACTACTACTACGCCCAGGCCCGTTACACTTTACATTCAATTGAGAAGATCAACAAGGGTATTAGGGAATATTAAACTCCCACCCCTGTTAAACTTTACATTGAATTGGGAAGATCAACAAGGGTAATCAAGGGTATTAGGGAATATTAAACTCCCACCCCCGTTAAACTTTGCATTCAATTGGGAAGATCAACAAGGGTATTAGGGAATATTAAACTCCCACCCCGGTTAAACTTTACATTCAATTGCGAAGATCAACAAGCGGATTCATGACTTCGTGGAAATTGCGTTGAAGAGTTTGCCGATTTCTAACGTTAGATGTATAAGGTAGGCATTTTGGACAAGAATCGGTTGGAAATAAACTTTTGGAGTTTGAAAAGCTCACCCAAGCAGCTGGAATGTTTGTGTGCTTGTTGTTGGTGAATCGTTATTCTTGTAGGTATACCGTGTTGTCAGCACGCGGACTCGTTGGACGGGCCTCCAGGGAGTCGACTGAGCTAGTTGTTGACGCTGTGGAGGCGCTTCCGCCACGACTACATAAAGTATGGTTTTTTGTTCTGTACAATGACGTTCCGAACTCCGAATACGTGGACCCGGTGGAGGGGCTTCCAAAGGGTCAACCAAGTGAGGGGTTGACTCTGTGGAGGCTCTCCCACCGGGTCCACAGAAACTATTGTTTTTGGTTAGTTGTTGCCTTTGTGATTTCTAGCAAGTTTACATAAAGTCCAACCGGGTCCACAGAAACTAATGTTTTTGGTTAGTTGTTGACCTTGTGATTTCTACCAAGTATACATAAAATATCGTTTTTTGTTCTGTACAATTACGTTCCGAACTCCGAATAGGTGGGCCCGGTGGAGGGGCCTCCAGAGGGTCAACCAAGTGAGGGGTTGACTCTGTGGAGGCTCTCCCACCGGGTCCACAGAAACTATTGTTTTTGGTTAGTTGTTGACTTCTTGTGATTTCTAGCAAGTTTACATAAAGTCCAACCGGGTCCACAGAAACTAATGTTTTTGGTTAGTTGTTGACCTTGTGATTTCTACTAAGTATACATAAAATATCGCTTTTTGTTCTGTACAAGTACGTTCCGAACTCCGAATACGTGGACCCGGTGGAGGGGCCTCCAGAGGGTCAACCAAGTTAGGGGTTGACTCTGTGGAGGTTCTCCCACTAACAAGGGTATTAGGGAATATTAAACTCCCACCCCGGTTAAACTTTACATTGAATTGGGAAGATCAACGAGCGTATTAGGGAATATTAAACTCCCACCCCCGTTAAACTTTGCATTCAATTGGGAAGATCAACAAATGTATTAGGGTATATCAAACTCCCACCCCCGTTAAACTTTACATTCAATTGCGAAGATCAACAAGGGTTTTAGGGAATATTAAACTCCCATCCCCGTTAAACTTTGCATTCAATTGGGAAGATCAACAAGGGTATTAGGGAATAGTAAACTCCCACCCCCGTTAAACTTTACAGTCAATTGGGATGTTGATGATGTTGATGATGTTGATGTTGTT